AGATGTCTCAAGTTAGCAAATGCCAACCGAGCCTTCCGGATGCTACCTGACAGTTCATCCGTGATGCGTCCACCGGGTGAGATGTAGCTGCCCAAGTAACACAACTTATCCACTTGTTCTATTGCTTCCCCAGTTACCATGAGGATGGGTGCTAGACCAACCCAGCCTTGAAGTAGCATTTTACACTTTGAAGGTGCGAAACGCATACCGAACCTGGTTACACTGAACTTTCATGATACACCAGCTTCCTGGATACCTTCAGAAAAATTCTACTTGGTCTCAGCTTCGCACAGAAAGAACTAAAAAGTGACAAATTTCTTTTCATAATTTTCTCATCATGAGGCAAACAGTCTAGAAAATGGAAACCCCGATATGCCGGAAACCGACCATGGAAGAGAGCATTCTGTGCTACGACAGTACCCAACAGNAACAGCTGTGCAATGTGGAAATTTGTGTTTTCATGCTATTCCACCAAGCAAATACAAACTACAACTCACCTGAAACAAGAGGTCAAAAACGCAGTAGACATCAGCAACCGATTTCATCATAGACTTACACCGCATGTATGAGCAACGCGTAAAAAAACAATAAAAAATAACTGATATACCGGATAAAGGGGATTGGAATAACACCCAGTTGAATGCATGACATGTTAGTTTACTGATGACGCACGAAATGCTGATGTTGATGATGATCATGATCATGATGTTGATGATGTTGTGGATGATGACGATGATGAGGATGTTGATGAGGATGATGAGGATGATAATGGGATGATAGCCGTTGAATCCCTTTGATGATAAAGAAACTCCATGGCAAATATTGCTTCTTTAGTGAGATCCTCTTCAGACCCGTGCATCGGAATAGTAATCTAGATCAACCTACCACATTTCGTTAGTTTTGTGCTACTCGAAAGAATTTGTTAAACCAGATCGATCATAAAAACAGAACTCTCCGTATGACGACAAACATGAAACTGTCTGAACTGAAGATTAAACACAGACAGCTCACTCCGACGCTGACCTCTTGTTACATGCACTCATCCGTGTAGCGCTACACGCTCATTCAAACTTTAAACACTACATTGCACATGACTGATCCCCATTCTATGAAAACCGAAGCGTCCTCTCCTGATTATTTACCCATTGCGGTGAACGCTCACGCTATTGATTGCCCAATTCTATCCTATTCTGCCGAACTGATATATATATACTTTGTATATATATATGTATATATATATATAATCTGATAGTAATATTGTCACATGAATGAATTCAGAGTCGATTTCTGTGCGACTGATCATCGATTGTCCCCCTCATTACTCGAACAATGGTTGTTCTACATCCTTTATCTAATTTTACTTCCTTTTATTGAATATACAAAGATACAATTTTCAGGAAGGGGGAAGCGGCCAATCAAAGGGCTGCCATTCCACACACAAATGGGGAAAGTCAGGCGGTGGTGGTGGGATTCGAATACACATCCCCGGGGTGATAATTCATTGACGTTACGCATTACGAGCGTGCCTTTATTTGGATGTCACTGTTGCTCTCTGCCGATCAGCTGAGATAGGTGAGAGAGGACACTTAAGCAAACTAGATGTGGCATGCAAGGCCGTTTATATTCATCAGGTGTGATAAGGTTGATGAAAATGACTCGAATGACGGCGATGATGATGATGATGATGATGATGATGATGATGATGATGATGATGATGTGAGTTTGAGCAGGGTCACCATTTCTTACGCGTCATTCTGTCAGGCTGTTCGTCACACATCTGATCGACAAACGGCACGCAAGCACCTGACACAATGAAGGCCAGTTCAATGACTTATATTGCGTTTTAACTTCCTGTGTATTTATCCTCACGGCCTCGATAACATCCCAGCACATTACCTCAGTTTCAATAAATGATTCATACTCTCTCTCTCTCTCTGCAAAACATTGACCGCATGCTTTGATTGATACCTCAGTTCACGCATCCGATTGTGTTCTGTGACGGGTGTAGGAATAGGTGGGTGGACACAGGTGGGAATCAGCAATTTCCGTTCACGCTAACGGGCACGTGTGTGTATCACTAACTGGCACACGGTGAGCAGTGACTGCTTCATCTACGATGTTGACCTCTTCCACGGAACTAACCACTGTATCAATTATTTAAAACTTGTGATAAATACACAATCCACTACTCACGGTCACGCCAGAATTATTTCTTTGGAAGTGCACAGGTGCAGCTCAACTAAGCGGAGGTGACTATTTTGTTTTAGACAGTCTCATCATCACCGGTCACCTTCCTCTCTTTCTGTTCGTTTCACTCACAATTAGGACAGATTCAGTTAGTAGTCAGTGCCAGGCGGTTGAATCTGGGCTTTCTTCGTCTCATTCCCTTTACAAATTTTACAATAAAGGAAACAGTTGGACTGCATCACCCTGGTTGGCATTTACATCTCTAACTACTCACACTGCCTACTCTGAGTGATCCTCACGGACAAAGCTTTTTCCGTCATCGAAACTGGGGTTGAGCGCATATGAAACTATCTGACCAATAAAGAATGCTCACTACTGAGGGTAATGGTTGTCCTCATTGTAACTTGTATACTACCGAAAAAACATTTTGGCAATGCACATTCAGCGAGTCCAAGGGACAAATATTGCACTAACCCTATCACTTGAACCTATGATGGTCGTGAGTATACGTGCCCGCTGATGAATGAGTTATTCACGGAAGTCCAAGAAAAGGCGATTACGCCAACTACTTCCAGTGTTTGCCGACTGTCTCAGGGTAGGTTTCAGAAACCAACACTGAAAGAATTTCGGATTTGACCCCGTTCAACACTATTCCCTGGATGGCGAAAAGGCGCATATTCATCACCGTGCCATCGTTCATTGTGAAATACAGTTCAGCCATTTATTTTGCTGCTGCTCAATACGATTCGGTAGACGCCCAACCGATCGAACTAGATACCTTATCATGGCCTTCCTCTATTACCGATCTCAACGGACGGACAGCGAACAACAGGGAAAAATCCAATTAAAGGCGAGGTCGTAATCCGTAATAACAAGTATATAGAACAACAGTTGTTCGAGCAAGGAGGGGGACAATCAATGATCAGTCGCACAGAAACCGATTCTGAATTCATTCATGTGACACTATCAGATTGTTTATATATATATATATATATCAAGAGAGAATGGAGGCGTACACTGAGTTGTAAAATGTTTATTGTAACGTTTCGATCCAAACTAGGACTCGTTGTCAAACGTTAATGAAATGAGTGAAATAGTGGGATTACCGACTTTCCGTGCGCCTGTGTGCTGTTTATACGTCTATCAGTCCACCAATTATCACGGGTTTTGCGAGTGTGACGTAATGTTTGTCTATCTCGACGT